GGTGTGATTCCTGCTTCTCCGCGCTGTGAGAGAGACAAAGGTGGTCGGGGTTGCTTGGGATATTGTTTAAACTCTTTCGCAAGTTTGCCCGTTGTCTCATTCCTTCTCGATAACCTTTGATGTGACTCGGTATTCCTGCTCCAAGCTTTGTTTTAACAGTAAAAGTATTAAAGGTGAAAATCATTTGATAGCGAATTAATCATTGGATAATAATTCACTGATGTATCTGGTGGCCTGGTCTTGATTGGAGTGAGCGCGAGGACCGCTAACTTTAGCTTATTCTTGTTATTGCATTTTAAATTTGAACCGTTGTTTTAAAAAAAAAAATAGTTTAACCCGTGGGCGTCCTCATTTATGGCTTGCGGAGGGCTTCCCTCTGCGTGACCTCCCTTAGGGCACATCAAACTCTTGTTCATCTGGAGATCTTCGCAGATAGCTGCTAACATCCTCGCCTCGAGAGTTTTATTATTTCTTTATTTATTAATGGCCTGTTTATGACCGACACCTGTTTTTTTGTGTGCCTGGCTTACGGGTTTTATTAATTATTTTTTCGTTTGTTAAAAAAATATGATATATATAACGGCAAATATTATTGTTAATATCAATTTTGGAAAAGGCTCATATACAACACTTCCCAGGTTGACTCAGCGTCAAATAAGTACCTGGTGTGTTGTGTAAACATCGCCACTGGGGAGACAAAGGCGGCCGGGAATGGTGCTGCTAACCTACCCCTTTGTGTGCCGTGCCAACCTTTATCGGTGCTACTTGCCCTAACAGTCTGTTAAGGCTAAATGGCAAAGGTTGAGGTGCCACCGATTTCCCCGTGTTCCTCACCCACCCCACCCTCCTTCCCAGAACAGTCTTCCCAGGAAAGTGTAAATTGGTATTTTTTGCTATTTGAACCTATCTACGTGACTTTACTGAAAGACCCAATAATATGTAAATTGGTATGCAAAGAGGTTGCCCGTGATAGGTCGAAACCGCAAGAAAAAAACCCATGATATACAAGGGTCTACTGTATGACATTTGTGCAGAACTGCCATGGACAATTGGGCCTTGCAAGCATCTTCTCTGCAGGTCAGGCAAGCTGAATATTCATTATCTGGCAATCAGTGTGGTCGAACGTTAGATCTTCGTCCAATCCAGCAGAGATCATCGTTTAGTCCATGTTTTGTAATAATGTTCTGTATTGCAACCTGTGTAAAATCACCACCCTCCCTCAGGACCTTCCTTTTGAAGTCAATTATGCCCGGCACTAAAACTGCTCTTAGACTGTGGGTTGCCCAAACCGTGCAAATGTCACCAATCACAATATTCTGGGTTTACACTGTCACCAGATGGTGCACCAGATGGTGCACCAGCCAACCACTAACAGAGTGTGATTACTTCCTGGAATATTTAAGGCATAGCAAAAGCAACAAATACATATACACAAACACACAAATTAAAATACACAAACCCGTGTGTTAGCTACCCAGCACGTTAACACACTCCCAAAACACCTCTACAAAACCAGTAATACTAACAGAAGCTAAAAATGCAAATGAAAAACAAGGTTATGTGTTAACTTACACTCGCAGTCAAATAAAATACATTAACACACATGAGCATATTCCAATGCACACACACACACATAGTTACCTGCAACAGACCCCCAATATAGCCTTAACAGTAAGTTCAGGAGGAGTGAGTGGGTGTATGGCCAGCACCACACCCGACCGCTTTTGTTTCCCCAGTGGCGATGTTTACACACTGCACCAGGCACTCATTTGAGGCTGAGTCGATCTCGGGAGGCCCAAGTCTGGTTCAGATAGTCACTGGTGTTGGTGGCGGTGAGTGGGAATCAAACTCGTGTTGCCTGGTTCGTAGCGCAGCGCGCTATAGGTTACATTACCGCACGCAACAACAGCCGCCATTTGCCACGAAGTGAGCTCTACCAATTCTAGATTTGAAGCTTTTGTGACTTTAAGGATTCATACTCTTTGGTTTTATTCGGTAAAGTCACGTAGATACAATAAAACAAAAAAGATTTTCTTTTATTGTTTTATTTTATCACCGTGACTTTACCGAATAAAACCAAAGAGTATGAGCTCTACCAGTTTGAGTATAAGGGAACACACACCGACTGACAGCAGATGCTACCGGTCAAACTGCCTCCTCTCCCAGTTACAGAGGTTTTGCCCACGCATTGCAAATGTCACCAATCACAATATTCTGGGTACACCACTCTGGTAAAATGTAGCAGCCACTGATTAGTAAGACAATCAGAGATATATTTAAGTCTATCTTTAAAACTCACCTCCGTAAACTGGTCTTCATCCCCCCCCCCCTAGTTTTGCCGTTTACCTGAGCGAGTGGGTGAGTGATTGGGTCACAGAATGGGTGAGTAGTTGTATGCTTGAGTAGGGAGTGAGTGGGTCGTCCAGTGAGTGAGTGATTGAGTTAGTGGGTAAATGAAGCTTGAGTTCTGGCTGTTTACCCTGCAGGATGTGTATATTTCGTACTTTTGATACACGGCACGGATTGGTGGGATCCACGGATGAAATGCAGCACTTTACAAATGTTAATTAAAATTGTATTATGAATATTGCAGGCATATTATACACACCAATATGTACCATATGCTTCCATATAGATGTTAAAGTAATTTTTTTCTCGCGTTATTTTTCATGAGTAGGCCATTGTGTACAGGTGTCAAGGTTTAAATGTATAATGATACAACTATTTTGATGAAAGAAGGAAAGGCTTTAACTTTTAGGCAATAATACAGGTGTTAAGATCAAAATCTTTAAAATTATTATCTGTCTTCTGGAGGAATGTCACAGGTGTCCAGTCGAGGCGGGTCAGAAAGGTACAAAAACAAACATGGTTGGCTACGTCCGGTGTTAAAGAAGTTCAACTCACATACAAAAAACGATAGGAGTGCAAAATTAATAGAAATGAATAAAGTACATAGTCCAATTTGAAAACAGATACATATTGCAAGGCAGCATTAAGTCTGCATTAACCACACATTATTGTGGTATATTTTAACACAAACATCAAGTCTATATCAACCACATGATATTTTTTATTTACAAGGATATTTTTTCTGTATATAGTGGTACCCCGGAGATCGAACTTAATTCGTTCCAGAAGGCCGATCGAACACCGATTTGTTCGAACACCTAATTAATTTTCCCCATAAGAATTAATGTAAATGACATGAATTGGTTCCAGACACAAGAAATATCTCATTATAAAGCATTTTTCACGAAGTTTACAGTAATTACATGCATACAAATATTTAAAAGAAACAAGAAACACAATAAATAAATGGAATAAATGCACATTGAACTTCACTTTACCTGTAGTAAGGAGAGTTGATGGCTTGAGTGGAAAGTGGTGAGGTGGTGTTATTGTTTGGAAGGGGAGTCCCCTTCCATAAAAACGTCAGGTAACTGCCCTTCGGGGGTTCTTTCTCTTTTGTGCCTCTTTTCTGCCACCGAGTCACTTGAGCTCTTTCTGACTGAAGAAGGCCACTTGAGTTGTGGCCGAAACGTCGTGAGAATTTGTATTGTTTTATTTTATTATTTTCTCATTTTACGTGACTTTACCGAAAGAACCAAATAAGATGAATCCTTGCAGTCAAAGCTTTAAATCGAAAATTTACAAAAAAAGTTAAGGATCGATGTTTTGCGGGTAACTGCACTGGGTGAGAGCTACGCATTAACTGAGCCTCTCACACGGCAAAACCTTTGTCTGGGCAAGCGTCATGCACGCTGGCCAAATGAATCTCAGCCGTACAGGTTCTTTCAAGTCGCAATTGTCCGTTCGACCTCCGAATTTCGTTCGGTTTCCGGGGCAAAAAATGTTCGGAAATATCGGTCGAACACCGATTTGTTCGAGTTCTGGTGCGTTCGATCTCAGAGGTTCGACTGTTTTTGCTCTTTATTTGACTTGTTATTAAATCATTGGACAATACGAAAAATCACGTATCGTCTTTTGGCATCTCAATTCTGCCATCTATAACCTCGTTTAAACTGACAAAAAATCACTAAAGTTTGAGTGGGAATGTAATTGCTATTAAGTTTGTTTTGTAAATCTGTAATTTTGGAATGCGTTGATGTCTGCCCGCCATGTCGCCGTTAAAAAATTGCGTCCAAGCTCAATGGGTGTTACTCGTGAAATTAACTTCTGATTGTGAGTGGGTGAGTGGGCCAGTGAGTTTGGGTGAGTGGGAGGGCGAGTGAGAGAGTGGGCGAGTGGATGGATGAGTGAGTGGATGGATGAGTGAGCGAGTTATAGAGTGGGTGGGAGGGTGGATGAGTAGACGAGTGTGTGGATGGATGAGTGAGTGGGCCAGTGAGTGGATTGCAATGCTGAACAAATGCCTCCAGTGTACTCAATCGGGAATACGCGAATAAGCATCGCCCCTCCCCCCGACTGCAAACCAACTCGGCAGGACGCTCCTGAACTGAAGTAAAGAGACTCAGTGTGATAAAGCACTCGAGTGTGCACCACGGTGGAGAGATTTTCACGACATCGCTCGGTATAGAGGTCGTGGGTTGGATCCTGACGCTGACGCGTGTTTATTTGGAGTTTGCGCGTCTCACTCCGCTTTTCCCCTCCAAATTTTGAAACTTGAGTTTAGAGCATTTGGCTGCTGTAAATTTCCACACGATTACAAGCCACTTCGTTGTGGGCAGGTCGCTTCTGAAAGAGATTTCTAGCTCAAAATAGAAATATAAAAAAAACGTGATTTTAACGTTGTCAGCCAGGTGAGGACAAATAAAAATTAACAAAAATCAAAGCAAATACAATCAGGCGATGGCAGGAGGCAAGCCCAGCATGGTTAGGCCACACTTTGTAACGTTCCAACCTGGACATCGATTCCATACTCGGTGCTACACTCAATTGAGATCCCCAGGAGAACAACAGAAGAAGCGAGGCTGCACCTAAATACACAACAACAACCACCACCAAAAACCACGACCACCACCACGATGTGAACTTCTTACCTCGGATCTCAGTTGAGTGGCGAGCAGCTTTCCGGGATCTCGTGAGGTCACGCGGAATAGCGCGGCGGGGGAGATGACATGACGTCGCACCCTCCCGTTGAATAAATTATGTTAATGACTCATGCGCTGACAAAGAGTGATTGGGCGTGGCTTTGCCCAAATCATTTCACCGGTGACATGACGTCACTAGCAGGATACACACCCCCTGGCGTCTCGCGACGATGACGTCAAGTGGAGTGTTAAAATGAGAGAGAGCACGGTGAGGAGTGATATTAGAGTTTAAGTTTATTTAGATTCCTTTAACATGTATTCCTCTGTTGCACAGGTATCCCTTGGGTGGGTAAGCTCAGCTACAACAAGAACGTGAACATTATTGCGCGTGTGTACACTGTGTGTGACACCACTATCATCATCATCATCATCGGCACCATCATCATCATCAATCCCGTCATCATCAGCACCATCATCAGCAACACCACTTTAATCATCATCAACACCACCATAATCATCAACATCATCAGTATCAACAACAACCGCAATTCGTCACTATGTGGCGCTTGTTCCATGCTAAGGCCACGTGAAATATCAAACGCCCGCGTGCAAGAGGTCACGTGACATACCCAGGTGTCATGCGTTGACTGATTGAGATGACTGGCCGATGCACCACCTGTGCCCCCTACTGTGCCAACTGTCTGTGCTTCAGCCACCCGGTGCTCCGCTCGTTGTGAGCATCGCTCCTCTGCCCTCCGTTGTTGCTGGAGGGCGACTGCCTCCCAAAAGCCCAGTAGTGTCCTTCACGAGCCTCCTCCACAGAGGTCGATCTTGACACTGCTGTTACCAGTCATCGGCAAGTCTATCCTCTATTGGCAGTGTTGAATCTATGGGCAGTGTTGAATCTTTTGGCAGCGATGCGTCTACGGGCAGTGCTAACCCGATCGGCAGAGTTGAGTCTATGGGCAGTGCTGCTTAATGTAAAAAGCAAGTGTATTACAGTGGAGGTGTGCAAGGAGCAAGAAGAACCAAACGGGATTGTGCACAGGGAAAATGACGGTCAAAGAGAATGTTGGGAGGGAAGAGGACGAGAGGAGGGGATATGGAAGGAGATGATATAGTTTTAAAGTGTGGCCACGTAGCTGGAGTCCTTGACTGTGTGGAGTGCGGCTCGCTCACATCGCTCCCTCCCCCTGAGTCCTCAATGTGCTCGGGTGGCCTCTATGAGCTCTGGGTGCATCCACTCCCATCAGCAGTGCTGGACGGGAAACCAATACGGTGTGTGGATAGCATTTCAATTCCCCACTGATCGGAATGAAGCCATCAACTTTCCATGAAATGCAATTATACAGAGTGGTCTAAAAGTTAAGACACGTGGATATTTTTTTACAGGGTGGGCCAAAAATAATGACACGTAGGATTATTATACAAGATGGCCCAAAATTCAGGACAGAATTATAACTTGCACAGTGACCCAAAAGTCAGAACACACGGGATTATCATACTGGGTGGCCCAAATATCACGAGACATAAGGTTATTGTTATACAGGATGTCCAAAGTTTAAGACATAAGGTTATTGTGTTATACATGATGGCCCAACTGTCAGAACACACAGCATTATAAAACAGGGTGACACAAAAGTCAGGACATGTGGGATTATTGTTACGCAGGGTCGCCCAAAAGTCAGGACACACAGGGTTATAACATAGGGTGGCCCAAAAGTCAGGAGACGTAGGGTTAGTGTTATACAGGGTGGCCCAAAAGTTAGGACGCACAAGGGAGTTATACAAGGTGGCCAAAAAGTCAGCACCCATAGGGTAATAAAACACAGTGCCCCAAAAGTCAGGAAACAGAGCGTTATTATTTTACAGGGTAGCCCAAGAGTCAAGACACATAGGGTTATTATCATTATACAGTGTGGCCCAAAAGTCGGGAAACGTAAGTTATTGTTTTCAATGGTGGCGCAAAAGTCACGAGACATAATGTTATTATTATACAAGGTTGCCAAAAAGTAGAATACACACGGTTATTGTAATATAGGGTGGCCCAAAAGTCAGAAGACGTAGGGTTATTGTTATTCAGGGTGTGGCAAAACTCAATGCACACATAGCAATTATACAGCAGGGCCCAAAAGTCAGGACACACCGGGTTATTATACAGGCTGGCCCAAAAGTCAGGACACACGGTTATTTTACTGGGTGGCCCAAAAGTCAAGACATACATGGTTATTATACAGAGTTACCCAAAAGTCAAACACACATTTTTTATTATACAGGGTGGCCCAAAGGTCAGGACACACGGGTTATTATACTGGGATGTCCAAAAGTCAGGAGACAGAGGGTAATTATTTTACAGGGTATCCCAGAAGTCAAAGACACATAAGGTTGTTATTATTATACAGCATGGCCCAGAAGTAAATACTCACGTCATTATTATACAGGGTGGCCCAAAATTCAGGACAGATAACGTTATTATGATACAGGTTGTCAAAACATCATGGCACATAAGGTATTATTATACAGGATGGCTCAAAAGTCAGGACACATAGGGTTATTATGAAGTGTGGCCCAAAATTAAGGACACATAGCGTTATAGTGTTATCCAAAAGTAAGGACACACAGGGTTAATATACAGGGTGGTCCAAAAGTCAAGTCACAGAGGGTTATTCTTTGACAGGGTAGACCATAAGTCGAGACACATAGGGTTATTACCATTATACAGTGTGGCCCAACAAATAGGAGACATAGGGCTATTTAACAAGGTTGCCAAAAAGTCAGAACACACATTTTTCGTTAAAAAGGGTGGCCCAAAGTCAGGAGACATAGGGTTATTGTTATACAGTGTGGGCTTTGCGTCAATTGCCAAACCACTCCACGCACTTATGGCTAAGGGAGCGAAATTCCAGTGGGGGCCAGCTGAACAAGCTGCGTTCGATGCTCTCCACGACGGTCTGGTGAATGCCCCTCCCCTGAGTTACCCTGATTTCTCGGCGTCCTTCCTGCTGGATACGGACGCCAGCAATACAGGCATTAGGGGGGTGTTGTCCCAGATGGTCGTCGGCATCGCCTATGGCAGTCGGGTTTTGTCGCCTGCCCAACAACGCTATTGCATTACCCGCCGAGAGCTTCTGGCTATTGTATTTTTTATTCAACAATACCAGCCTTACCTGTACGGGAGAGAGTTTACCATGTGCTCCGATTATGCTGCCCTACAATACGCCCTTAAGGTTGATCAGCCATCAGGCCAGCTTTCCCGATGGTTGGAGGTCCGACAGGACTTTTCCTTCATGGTCGTTTACCGGAAGGGCGTCCGCCATGGCAACGCTGATGCACTGTCGCGTATGTATGGTCCGGACCGATGCGCCTGCTTCACGGGGTCGGGCCGCTGTTAACGAGCCACCGTTGATGCGTCTTCCTCCTTTGCGGGGGCGGCAGAAGAGTTAATTGATTCTCCTCCGGACCCCCTTGCTGGCTCTGCCACCGATGCCCTTCTGGGTCTCAGCTCCGCCGAGTGGGGCCGCCACCAGCTGGAGGACAGTTCCCTCCTTGCGATGCGCCATCGGGCCGCTGAGGGCTACAGGCGGGAGGCCTCTGGGGGTCCCATCTCCCTTATCCTCAGGGACGGCCTACTCATGCGTTGGGATGGCAGCGAGCTGAGGTACAAGCTGGTTGTGCCTACATCCTTGCGAGGAAGGGTCGTGTGGGCCACACACGAGCGTTTGTTGCACCTCGGGGTTCAGAAAACCTTTGCGACACTCAGTGTGGACTTCTTTTTGGCTGAGAATGTCGGGAGACGTTGCTACCTTGCTTCAGGGATGTCCCCAATACGCTCGATGAAAGCCTGCCTTTAATCTGTCGTGCCCTCCATTGCAATCTATTCAGGTATCTGAGTGAACGAACTGGTCGTGCCTTTCCCTGTCACTCCTAGGGGTAACAAGTACCTCCTGGTTGGGGTTGAATATTTCACCCGCTGGCCTATGGCTTGGCCACTACCCAACCAGTCGGTGGCAGCCATCACGGAGGCCTTTCTCCAGGGCTATGTCCTGGATAAGGGTGCTCCGGAGCGGCTGCTGACCGATCAGGGAAATCATTTTTCGTCTAACCTGCTGTGAGAGGTCTGCGACTTGTTGGGCACACACAAGGTTCGCACCTCCCCTTATCACCCTCAAACGGATGGCATTGTGGAGCAGTTTAACAAGACTCTCACCACCATGCTGAGCCACCAAGTAGCCGACTCACGGGGTTCTGGCCACCTATCGATTGGCTCCTCATGCGGCCACGGGGTTTTCCCCATTCTATTTGATGTATGGCAGGGAGGCCAACTCCCCGGTGGATGTTCAATTACGCGTGGCTCAGGGGTTCCCTAAATCCAAACTTTCCCAGCACATTCGGTCAAATGTCCGCAAGTTGGTGGAAGCAAGGGAGGCGGCTAAGCATAATTCGGAAGCCCGCCAATTGGCCAATGAGCGCTTGCGAAGTCTCAAAGTTTCCTCGCATACATGGTCCGAGGGTGATAGGGCGTGGCTTCACTGTCCTAAAGTACCCCTGTCCACGTCACCCAAACTTTTAAAACCTTAGAGGGAGCCCGTCGATGTCGTAAAGGTCATCCGGCCCCAATGTGTAAAAATGCTGCTGGTTTGTGCACCCGTCGTGCATAAAACCCTTTCTACCTTTCCTTGATACTCCCACTACACGCAAGGACCGTGAGCGTGATGTGTCTGATGAGCCGGGTCGTGCGGTTGCCAAGCCTAACTTTCAGTCTAGCCGTGTGCTTGCTCCCTCAGACCCCTCGGGAGTAAGGCCGCCACGGGGCACTGCCCAGCTGACGACTCACCTCAAGGCCACCACCCTAAGCTTCCGGCGAACACAAAAACTCCTCCTGCGGTGTACAACGGACCGTCAGCCAGGACCCGGTCCAAATCAAAAACTTTTTCAGAAGAGTTTTTTATTTCACTTCGCCTTCTTGTCGGGGTTGGTTTGGCTCGCATCCACAGAGCTGGTCGGGTAATTCATGTATATATTGTTCATAGTGTATATTGTGCAGGAGGTTTGGGTTATATATTGTTGTTGTACTGTTCTCTGCTGTTGTGTTGTGTTTTGAGGCACACGGA